AAATATATTATTACCTAAGAGAAAAAAACATTATGCTACAGTTATTTGATATAAGGAATAATTATTATAAAAATATATGAACATTCTGTATAAATTCATAAGTATTCATAGTTTACTATATAAAAAAAATAATAATAGATGAGAAATATGTATTCAAATAAGAATATATATTACCATAGAAATATTTCTATATCTTAATTCAGTTATTTAAAATCACATATAAGATCTCACAAGTATTAAATTGAGTGGAATTAATCATATAGGATCAATCTATTTTCGTCCTATACTACAAAATTCCTATAAAGTGTGATAAAATATATTAATTTCACTGTGTTTCTAATTTTCACACATTCATTCCCTCTAAGTAACTAATAATGTTAAATATTTTTTTGAAATTAAGATTATAACATATAAAATTAACAGTATATTTAGTACAACATAAATATTCGTAAATATATAAATATTCATATAAAAATTTCAAACAGCTAGAACTTTAAACCTGAACCCTGAACCTAAACCATAAAACCTTTAAACATTATACTTATAGAATTTTTTAATTAGTATAATATTTATAAAGAATATTGCTATGTATATTCCAATAATATTTTCCAATATGTATGAGATGAATTTATTCTAGGATATATGATATGTTAAAATAGTGTCTATACGAATTTAATTTTTCGGACTCATAAAAATGGTGCTTTATATTTGATTTCAATATATTTTTTATTTTTTCAAATAAGCTTCCATAACCTCTAATAAATTTATGTGCCCACATTCCAGCTGGTATAAACTAAAGAGTATGTTGGATATATGAATTCATTTTATTGTATATTTGATTATCGCAATATAATATGTAATATGATATACTAATATTACATTAAAATATCTATATTTACTTTATATAAAACAGGAATTATAATGGATATGCTCATGAAAATTATAAACATACTATATAAGAGTTTAAACGATACGCTTCTAACATTATTCGAATGCGTTAAAGTTATTTCTTCTACTGGCATAGGAGATGTACTTATGTTTTGTAATGAATGTGTCTCTTTAATTTCATTACAATTTAAAGGATATAATTTTGGTCCAATTTTGTAATCGGGAAAGATTCTCTTATATAAATCGCAAGAAGGTGTACTTTTATTTGTAGAACATTCTTCATATACTTTATTATATATAGATTGAGACTCTTCAATATAATCTTTAAGAGCTGGAAAACACAGCTTAGTGTCATTATTTAGAGCATATTTAAGACTTTCATAATTTGAAATATAATCAAAGACCCATTTTATTTTTCTAAACTCATCTTTTGTAACTTTAATAAAATCTTTTTGACATCTATTTGAAGCACCAACTATTCTAATTCCATGATAAAATAAAGATACGATTTCTTTAAAATCATCATCACCATTTACCTTATCAATTATATTATTTCCCAACCAGTAGTAAAAGTAATTACACAATTCATGAGAACTGAATCCTTTAAAATATGTCATAAAGCATAAAGCATTAAATGGTTTCTGCAAAATACCATTAATACTTGAATATGAATTAAAAATACTATTTAATTTTTCCATCTCATCATCTAAACAATAATTTTTTACAACGTTGAATCTTCCATAATAAATATAAGAAGGTAAATGTGATAAATCTTTTGCCTATAATTAAAAACGCATAATTCATTTAAAAAATATACATTTAAATTTATTAATATAAGTATTTTTTTAAAATTTTATATCAAACCAAACATCCAATATATATATATAAATTTATTCATAATACAAACGTCTAAAATTCCTGACATTTTATACAATGCTTAGAAAATATCTATGCAACATTAATCTATATTAAAAAAGAAAAAACTTAAAATATTTGTTAATTGTAAAAATTAATATATTAAATATGTAAAGATTAAAATTAATATTTAAAAAAACAATAAATTTCCATAATATAATTAAATGCTTTAAGGATCATTGACAAACATAAAGAAATTATATGTAATATTTAATATATTCTTTCTATATTTTTCCTATTTTTATAGTTTTTGATTAAAATATACATAATTATATACATATCAGAAAAGTATAAATAATTATATAATTACTGTTACAAAAAATATATAAATAGATAAAGAATTCAATAAATTATATCTTTATAATATTATATAATTTGTTATACTTTTGTTTTAAAAAATAATTCGCATATTATACACAAGCATGTTGCATAAATGAGATTTTCAATAATAATATTAATTAAAGATTATAATATAAGTATTTATTATGTTTAATAAATATTTTGAATTATCTCATGCAATTTATCCTAATTATAAATTGTTTGTATACACAATTTTAACAAAAGTTCTTATCGCATTTAAAAATTATATTCTTAATTCATCGAGGGAATGAGTACATTCATCTCTAATGCATTTAAGTTTTATGTACATCATTTTTTCTTATATATCTTAAACAAATAATATATATATATATTAGTATTAACTTTATTCTTAAGACATTTATAAAACATATAATTATTAATGTGCATTTACAAATTTCTTCATATTTTTACTATTGCCTACTTTAATTCCCACATTTATAGAAAAATAACCATGTGAATAGATACGTACATAATATTAAAATATTTATATATTCATACTATTTTTATAAGTATTTCAAACATTTTTCGCTGTGTAAGCATAGAATACTGTTGCTTAATTATATACAAATTATTTGTTATTGTAATCTTTTTCGTAACCAAAAAATATTTCTTAATTATTCTAAAGAAAAAAAATTTTCATTAAATTATTATTTTTCCAATAATATTTTTACGTTTTTTCTAAAAAAAAAAAAGGTATATATTATTCATGAACTTAAAAATAATTCGATATAAAAAAATGTATATGTATTAAAATATAGTTTGTCAATAGAAAAAAAAAATTCTAATGTAAAAACATTATACTTATAATGCATAAATAATTATATAATTTGTTATATTCATATTTAAAAAACTTTCTATATATTTTTGATATTATATTATGAATTTAATACTTATTATAAAATATACTATTTGTAAAAAAATTAGATTTATTTTTATCATTGTGCTCTAACACCCAATCATTAGTGCTTAATTTTATTTAATTAGATTTAATGCAATAAATTTACAGAATTCTTATTATGACGTCTGCTTTTTAACAAAATATGAAATGTAATAATTAATATAGAGAGACCTAATAGTGTAGACATATTTAGATTTATATAAATAATATACTAATGAGAGTTTTTATTTTATATCATGTAAATTTTTATATATCTCATAAATGATTATAATATTCTTGCATAATTATATATTTATAAATAATTCTAATTTTATATAAAATAATAAAGAATTTGTACTGTTCTAGTTATATATATGTATAAAATTAATATAATATTATTCAAACACTAATTTAAATGATATGAGAATAAATTTTTGCTCATTATATATTAGGTATATGCTGCTATTATGATTTTAATTAAAAAACTCTTTATGGTAAAAATACTATAGATGAATAATGCGTTAATTAAAATATATGAAAAAATATTCAAGCTATATTATACAATTAGTAGATTTGTTTTTTTGTTATGAACTCTACAGGGTTCAGGGTTAAGGCTTCAAGGTTTAGGATTTAAGGATATAGTGCATAGGGTTACGGTTTCAGATATTAAAGTTCTGAGTTAAAGAAATTGGAATTTAAGTTTTATGTTTATATTTTAGTTTTCAGGATTTATTGTTTAATTTTTATGTTTTTGCTTAATTATTTTGATTTTATTTTGATATGGTAACACTTTTTTTACCATTTATTTTTTTTTTATTTGTCACTACTATCTATAATACATTTTTAATACTCTTGCGTAAAATGTATGTATAATTCTATTCAACATATTTATTATTATGTAACTCAAGCACAATATATATTATTACTGTATGTTCTCTGATATGTATATTTACTTATGTTTGATTTACATTATAAACTGATTACGTTTTAGCAAAATAGTTCTATTAGAATTATAGGGAATATATCATAATTAATTATGTATTTTTGGCATTTTTATTTATTGGTAACTATTTCTCTAACTTTATTTATATAATTATTTATTTGTATATTGTAACATAAGGAAAAAGCATATAATAATTTTCATATAAATTTATTTTATATTTTATCTACTTATTATTAGAAAGGAAAGTGAATTTTGTATGTTTTATAAATATTACTATTTTTTATATAATACATGAAGTAAACTTATATTTCTTCACTCTGCCGTAATAGATTATTAATGGTAAATATAATGTTAGAATTACATTTATGTTGTTAATCATTCATATATAATAACAATTATGTGAAAATCATTATCATTATGTAGATATTTATTGTATAATTCCTGAATTCTAATGGCACATATTGCCCAATTTACACATCTAATACGGACGTATAACTATATAAGATTATTAACACATATATATTTTTAATAGGACATTATATTAAATTTATAATATGTATTTTATATATTTTAAAATGCATTTTGAATAAATGATTTTTGTGTTTATATATTATTTTAAAATATTTATTATTCTATATGAATAATAATTTTCACATAATGTATAATCAACTATATTTGATAACATTATTTTCCCTCTAACATTAATTTTATATTTCAGCATATTGAGTGTAGTAAAAATGTATTTTTATTACATCAAAATATTATAATTACTACTAAATTGCGTGATCACAATAAATATAATATGTTTATTATATTTTATTTTGCATTATTCATTTGCTCCTGCTACTACAAATTTGATATAATATTATCTTAATGATAAATGATATAATTATTTTTTCACATAATATGAAAATATTATACAGATATATTTTCCATTTTTTGTACTTTAAAATTAATACAAAGAATAATATAAAAAAAAAAAAAATACAATATGGTTATCAAAATATATGTATTACTTAATGCACAAAAACTATAGTGAATATAATATATTAGGAAAATACACAAAAAGATATACTTATATATCGTATTTTTACTGTAATAAAATAATTTATATTTATATCACCTTGAGAAGAAAACATTATATATATATAATTGTTTCTGTATGTTTTTATTCATGTAATTATGTATAAAACATATATAATATATTTTAAATATATTCTTTTTATAGAGTTTTAAAATGCATCCTAAATCATATAGCATCATATCATATATATACTTATGATTATGTTATCCATTAATTGTTTTAGAAATGAATTTACAAAATGCGATATTTTATACATTCAACCTAGGAGTTCCTATTTCTGAGAGGAGTATAACGTTTTTTTTATTTTTTTAAAGAACTTGTGCATCAAATATGGAATTTTCTTATTTTATTATTTTGAAAAAAATAAAAAGTATTTTGTATTGATATATTTTTAAAAGACATATCATAATATAAAATGGTATACAGATTGTTTATAAAAAATTTTTATAAAGAAAAAAAAAATAAAAATTAAGTATAATAAAAAATGCGTAGTATACATGCATTACCGACACAATTTAGGATAAAAAATTTTAAATTCTTAATTTTTCTAATATTCCCTGTACAATTAAATGCTTCTTAGTGTTCTTTAGTATAAAATTCATTCCTTTATTATTGCATACATAAACATTATTGTTATTACTACATGAATGTATATATATAATTTACATTTACATACCACTTTATATGTAAGATATGTATAATATATTTTTAATAAAATCAGAGAATTTGGAAGTTTTTTTATTACATTCATATTCATTATTAAAATTTTCATTGGATATTTTATATATAATAATATATATCTATAGCCTTTGTTTAATTAGATTAATATATATTAACAGTATAATGATATGCAAAAATCATTTATTATAAGCATTATGTGTGTTATATTTGATCATTTTTTAAAAAGATATGTAAATTAATAAATTACTATTATTTTTTCTGAAACATCAAATTAGACATATTTATTGTCACAATATAATGAAATACATATTTTTCCATTATTCATATACATATATAATTACGGAAAATTAAAGAAAAACTAGTGAAATTTATAATGGTATTATAAATTTCGGAATGATTTTGGCAACGCTTTTTCATAAAAGCCCCCATAGATATAAACCAGTTAATGTTTCATTATAATCGCATACTACAAGGAATCAGATAAAATAATATTATATTTTTGACACTGCTAGGATCAAATAATTGCATATACATATTTACCTTAATAAAAATTTTATAAAATTGTAATGCTATTATTATTACAATAAAAATAATGGTTAAATTTAAGAAAATATATGTTGTACAAATATAAGCCTTATAAGATTAAATAATATTATATTGAATTAAATATATATTAAAATTTAATGTATAAATATTGAGGATTATATATTAATTCTAACCCAATAAAAAATATATTATAGTGTTAGTATGCATGTAATATCATTAGTATTATTATAACAAGGTATTGAGTATTAATATAAATAATTAAATTCAAGGAATAATAAATTATTGTTCATACATGTCCACTTATCATAAAATAAATATTTCTAATAACTTTATGAAAATATTAATAATCTTTGATAATGAGATAATAAAGAATTTATTAGGCATCAGTATAAAATTCTATTTTTCGTATATTTTACTATAATATAATATATTGACTAACATATCATATAAGGCATAATAAGAATAAAAGCAAGACAATTTCTTTGTTACGCTTCATATTTTATATTATTATAGATTGTTGTTCTTAATCTTTTATTAGTTTAATTAACCAGTT